CCCGCAGCTCTTCCTGTGGAGAGCTCAGGGCTCCACGCAAGGCACATAGGGCGCGAATCCGGAGCATGTGTGGCTCGGAGCTCTCAGAGCTCTCAGAGGGCAGGGTCGCCAAATAGTGGAGCGCCTGGCGGGCAGCACCAGGCTCGGTATATTTGTAGGAAGAACATTCACCAGGATCTTCCGCCAAAGGTAATCGCTCTGGAAGGCTCACTGCACTTTTCCCTCTCTCTGATTGAATCAGACTGCTGGAGGGTCGCACGTACAATACACGCAGCGTGTGTCGTGCTGCAGGGGCTATGCCGGACCAGCCCCACTTGCACAGCATGACAAGTGCGGTGGGCCATGCGGAACAACCTGGCTACTGCGGCAAGTGACGTGAACCCTCGCTAAACCCTTCCAAGATGGCCTTCATGGAGCACAACGACACAACCCCTCGATACAGCGTAAAATAGCAGGTATTCCGCACCTTGTGTGGCAGTGCTGGACTTCGCCCTTGAAGTGTATACTGTAAGTACTTCGTTGTAACAATATTAGCGACTGAGTTGAGTAGATGCTACAGTGTCTCAAAATCAAGAAGCGAAACCCTGGCAACCGGTTGAACATACCAAAAGCCTGCGGGAGAACTTGAGTCTCAGTTTTGGAGCCACATCGCTTGCTATCATGCAATTAATGTCCGCACTGAATCACTTCAACACACACACCCCACATGAGGGCATGGCTCCAAGCTGTACGAGAAAAGAGTCAAAACCTCGGGTCACAAGCTGTTCTGAACCACGGAACTGGACTCACAAACCGCCAAAGTACAAGCATGCCAAGCCACCCAAAACGTGGCTCAACGGTTTGCAAGCTTTGCTTCCCTTCGCTTGACAGTATTTACGTGATACACAACCCACGCTATGCCCTCATTAGCAGCTTCAACAAACGGCAGGCTCGGTTTCTCGCGCATTGATGTGCGAAAATCTCCAGGGAGTGCCCATCCTGCCAAAGACATGATGCACCCAACTGTGCAAGCACACAAGCTTCAGAACAACTGGTGTCGCCTCCCGCAAGTGGCGCCATAGATGCGGAAGGCTTCTTTGCACCAGACCAGCAAATTGGAAGACTCTAAGCCTTGAGAGAGCTCCCCGCACAAAGCATCAGGGCGCCACCGGGTGGCAGGCACCATCAAGAAAAGATTCTAGGCTTCGAACGGGACAAGTGGGACCTTGGCAATGCTCTTCGGAATTGCCGCGCTCATGGGGCTCATGAAACACATTTGTGCAACGTTGCGCAAGCCTTTCCACCTTGCTGCACGGACTTAGAAAATGGCATCCTGCTCCATTCATTGCTGGGTGCCCTGCCCCTGGGGCAAAAACACATCGGAAGTGATAACCTCAATCAACACGAGGTCTTTCCAGCTGATGAACAGGATGCCGAGGGTGCTGCGTTGCAGCAACGTCAAAAGAAGCCAAAATGCCTCCTGCACCGAGTCCACGTGTATCAACCTTGGGACTCAGTAGGAAACCGACGCGTCAATGGAACATGAAGAGATCCCTGTAGTGCACTACAACCTACTAGTAATGGCCTCCAGCCTCCAACCTACTGGCGCCCTGTAATTAGTGCACTACAACCTGACTCCTATTGTTACTTCAGCTTGCTTGTTCAACACCTCAGGACAAGCTGGTTTTCAACATCTTGGATGAGAAAGTGCTGAGAGCTTCACAGCGTGGCTGCAACAAAGTTCATCCCTTGGCAGTAGCCAACATTGGGCCTTAGAGGTCTTAACACCACCAACCCCAACAGCCACTTAGTCAATTGTTTATGATCAATTATGATCAGCTTGTGCATCTTGTGCCAACAATCACCGTACAAACAAAGGTCAGAACTCTGCCAGCACCACTGCCTGCAACACCTGCGATTCGGGGTTTCATCTTCTGCAGGAGTGTGGTTTAAGTTCGTGTGCCCGCCACCTGAGACAGTTCAACTCGGCCTCTAACACCTGTGCAACAGGCGGCTGCATTCTCTGAGGAACCCAATTGGACAACAATTCCCACTGCATGGCTCACGTGACTCACCAGAACCATCCACCGATACAAAATAGGCCTTCCTCTCCGCAAAAGCGTGGGTGAGAAGGATATGTACGATGAACATCTCGCTCAATTTCGGAGATCTTCGATTGTGACCTGTCAGGTGGTATGAGGGACATGGTGTCAGGTGGGGAACGGTTTTTTGGCAGTGAATCTCGACCGCGCCATCCACCCTGCAATCAGTTATATGCTCCATCTTCAGGCTACAGACTACCGATGACGCAAGTTTGCCTAAAGAAAAGAATGACTCAGGTTTGGGCAGTGGCTGCTGCAACAGCGCATGAAAGGCGTCAGCGGAACTTTGGACGCCCAACTTTCGGCACCAACCTGGCTCTACGCAGGCGGAATCGGAATCATGGCAGGACAAATACTGGAAGCATCACTCCCAACTGCATGGTTGGATGCAGGGGTGTGATTGGTTGATGGTGCTTTGATAGGTCTTGCTGGGGGTCTTCCGTGAACTCATGCACTAAAGACTTGGGAACCGGCCCGCTTCAATCTCGGCCACCTATTGCGAGCAACAGATTCGTTAGTCAGCTGCCTCCTTTTCGAGGCGCTGATTGCCAAACATGAATCGGTCTTGTGTCAAAGCTCTATCTATATTGTTTGCATTTATCTACCAGCAAGTTTTGGAAGTTTGAAACCCCGAGTGCTGCCCTGCTATTTGAGCACAGCCTCACTGCATCACATATCATAAACTCAAGCAATCTCAGGCTCAACTGCTGTGAGGTGCCGCCATAACTTGAGGCGCTGCTCTTTGAGCACCCCGCCTGGCTCAATGGGCTCATATTTGGAAAGCAGCAATGTGAGCAGGTAGACTAAGTTATTGGCCATTCTGCACGCAAAGTTCTAACCACTTCTGCCCAGCAAAGAGCCGATGCCAATGCCTGCCTAGGCTGACAAACATGACATGCTGTTACATGTTGTTGCATGATGCCGTCTCAAGTGCCATGCTTCACATTAAGCCTCCGAAAGGAAACCTCTGAGCCTTGGGCACGCTGCACTGGCTCGCGCAACATCGACAACTGTTGTCCAGAAAGAGAGGCAGGAGCAGAGCAACCTCGAGAGCACTTCCTTTGCGATTCAGTCTCATTAAACAAAAGATGCAAGTGGAAAGGGCTATTGAGATACAAAACTGTTCCTCCCCTCTAAGTTGTCCTTTTCATCCCCTTGTACCGGACTTTTAGCTCCGAACTGGTGATCCAAGAGGAGCACACAGGATGTCTGCTCTGCCTCAACACGCCGTGGGACCGTGGGACAGCCAAAGGTTGATAGGATGAGAAAGGATCACGAAAGTTAGAAAGTGGAAAGCATCTCCAAATGCTGCAGCAAAAGTCTTTTGCGCTCTTCGTGTTTGTTTGTCGGCCGAGTTTGGCCAACCGCCCTGCCTGCAGAGGCGGTGCAACGACCTTTTCAAAGGGTGCTCCATCCAGAAAGTTCCCAGCCACCTGGAGTGTTGGATAGTGTTGGTGTGCATCAGTCAGCTCTTGGTATTGACATCCCCTCCTGCTCTTCTGCTGGGCTGGCCACCTGTGCTCCTGAAGCGGGAGCTGAAAATCCCGCACATGTCGTCATTGGTCATGCTGTATCAAAATGACTGTTAAGTGAAACATGCAAAATGAACTGTTCCGGAATTGTTCTGGGTCCTTGGCCCATCTGCACTGCATTGGTGGCTGTGCAACATGCAAATGAAAGGCTCAAGGCAGTTCATGGTGCTGTCATGCTATTTGCTCCTATGGCCCTAGGGGCAAACCATTTCCGCTTTACATGGTGCAATTCTGAATGCAAGTAATTACATATATATATATATGTGTGTGTGCATTCACATTGACGTGCCTTATTTGCACCTAGTGGCCTAGCCATGGGCGTATGGTCTTTTTCACCCCCCTTAGTTGCATATGATACAACAAATCATCTATTACATTCAAATGATTAGCACGACCTAATGGACCCATTTTGCATTGAGGAGCTCAGCTCAATTCGAGGTGTTCACACTTGAGCTTGAGGACCTGCAGGCTACACTGACACACTCCTCCGCTCGAAATGAAGCAAAGTGCCACTGCCACACATAGCAAACACATGCAAAGCATCACGTCAAATCGATGTGCGGCTTTCGCTTCCTGGACGAGAGCTGTACACAGCATCTTAAGCTTGCCATATGCAGCCCAACATGCCCAACTCTATGTACACAGAGAATCCAGCCAGGGTGTAAAACCTGTTCACTGGAAATCTGGCGTGTCACATCTGCGATGTCGCAGCACGTCGAACCAAATGACCTTGCACAGTGGAAGGGCCTCCTTCGACACCCTGAATGCCATTGAATGCCCTCCCCTACTGCCACACACCATGAACCCAACTTTCAGGTGGAAGCATCAGAGCAAACCCTTGGTGCAACACTTTACCACTATAGCAATTTGCTGTAACAGGTTTACTGCTAATTCCTGCATTTAGAAATTTAGAGTGAAATACATGATAATACATGTGTGTTCCTGACCCAACTAGCCCCGCGAAGACATGTCGTTGCTTCACACGCCTCTGCGTGGAGGCGCCATGAGAGATGGACTGGTGGGAACAAAGGCAGAGAAAAGCCTCGGTGATGAGCTCAGTTCGCATGGGATAAGTTTCAAAAGCTACAGGAACAACTTCCAAAACCTGCAGCTGCTGCAACTCAGAGATCTTACAGACTCCTGCGTGGTTTCTGAAGTCTGAAGTTTATTTATCAAGCCAAATCTTTTAGCCACAACACCTTTCGCACACTACAGTTGAATATTCATGAACATTCACCCAACTCTTCAGGATTCTTTCGGGAAATTATCCCGATGAAATGCACTGGATTCAGCTACTGATCGAACATGAGCTACCATCTCTTATCGTAGCACACCCGATTCCACACTGAGCTCAAGGGCTGCTGTGCGTTGATGGAGCCCAAGCCTGTCAAGGGCGGCAGATCCGAGGCTGGGGCACGGCCACCTGGCAGCAAAAGAGGCCCCGAGGCCGGCTCGAAGTGCAGGTGGAAGAGGAATGGATCTTCCATCAAGCACTGCTATCACCTGTTGACTTTGGATGATCCTCAGCCTGGTGGTGTGAAGAAGCTTGCAGCAGCTTGGTGTAGAAAGATGTAGAAAAGACTAGAGATCAAAATGCTGGTTGTCTAGAGCAATGTCTACAGCTCCTTTCAATGCAAGTTGTGCTAACAGCGGCAACATGGTCGGTCGGCCTTGATAGCGGCTGAGCTCTTGGAAAGCAGTACGCCTTGCTGCAGCAACAGTGTAGCAGTACGCCTTGTGATGCGCTACTCGTAGTAAAGTGTACATAGCGACATCGCAGGGGCGCGAGGTAGTAGCACAAAGCCCCGCCAGCTCGTTGAGGCCCTAGCAGGCTCTTCCGCTGGAGCTTTGCCAAGCCTGAAGTCAACTCGAGGCCCGACGCACAGAATATGGTGGCGGCAACGCTTGAGCAGTCGAAAGATGGAGATGCCCGACGCTTGCTAATTGAGCGCACACACGCGCGCCAGTCGGTGCAACTAGTGAACTAGTGCGCGAAAGGCTTTCCCTTGATTCTCTTGAATCAAGCCATGCTCTTTTCAACCGCGTCGGCACAGATTGGGCAGGCAAACCCGCAACCTGGCCAGAAACTGCTCAGATTTGGGGTTGTAGCTTATGCTTTCTATTGGGTTGAAGGCCATCGCTTCGGAGGCCATTGCTAGTAGGTTGGAGGCCATTGCTTCTTAGATTCTAGGTTGGAGGCCACCTCTATTGGGCTCTCTCTCTCTCTCTCCCCTCTCTCTCATCTTCTTGTGAGCCGTGCTCTGGCACCTCCGCAGCCCAAATGGTCGCTGACAGGGCTGAGTGGTCGTCGTCATTGATGGCACCTCGTCTCAAAAAAAGAGTCGCAATGGGAGCAGGTAGAATTGCCCGCATTCAGTCATCATCGTGTGCTTCATACAAAAATGATTGAACATGGACATTGAACCCCCACCTCGCACCATGCTTTCCAACAGCCCAATGGCTGTGCGCCAGCCTTGGTATCTTGATGTTCCCTTCGAGTAGGAGAACCCCTTTCAGTTCTGCGCGAATAGATCATGATAACGTTGCCACGTTCAGTCGTGCAAAGACCCACATTTCTGTGTGAAGACTTCAAGTTAGAGTTAGAGTAGAGGATGAGTGACAACTTAGCTGCATCGTGGATCGGGAGCTTGTGATTCCTCAAAAGCAAGTGGTCAAATCACTACGCCAACGGCTCCAACCCAGCTGGGGTTCATGACCAGTTCCATACCCGGTGCCGCGAATTGGCGATCTGTAACTCTTCTGGTCTGGCTTGATGGTGGCCTGCATTCTTGAGATGCAGGAGCACGGGTCAACCAATGGGAAGCTGGGAACGACGCTTCGGAAGGATTTACAAAAAATGATCAAACATGCACAAGCAAATGTACAAAGTAATCTCGAAGGTTCCGGACTTCAATCTCACCTGTCCAATGGTCCAAAGTTCCCAGTCAGCATCAGTTCACCGATATACTGTAGGCCCTGGGAGGTGCTTGGCCGTCCGAGAGACCGCTCGGCCTCTAGGAGATTGTCCAGCACTTGGAGGCAAGAGTTCCAAGTTGATGGATCTTCACAGCACCTCAACGGGTCACGACTGATGTTGGACTGGTGATGGATTGTCCTATGACTGGTTCGTTCTTAACATCCTTTATATAGCTAGCTTTGCTCTTCAGTTGATGGTCATTCAAAGTTCATGGATCTTCCGTGTTCCTGCCTTTGATGTGTCGACTGACTGACTTTACGAGACGGACAACTTACTCGCTGGTACCTTGGCTGATGGTCCACAAAATGTCAAAATGGGTTGCACTAGGACCTGGGAGGTTTGGGTGGAGTCGCTCTACAAAGGTTTGGGTGGAGTCGCTCTACCGCGGGATTCTGAATCATCAAATCGTTCTTGCAGATCGAGGCACGACATGGCAGTGTTGAAGCAGGTCATGAGATCATCACCCGTGCAGTGGAAATGCCGTGCCTCACGCAGCCATGACCTGCATCAAGTCATGACGACAGTGCATTGGGCATCGGCATTGGCTAAAGTTAAAGGGTGGAGTTAAACCAGCACACTGAATATATATATATATATATATGTTTTTCACACACACAGTGTCACACACACTTATATATATATATATATGTAATTATATGTATGTCCAAAGCAAGTTTAGTGTGCAAAACTTCCGTGTTACGGACTTTCAACAACTCTGGCTCCAGTCAGCCCTCTAGCTCCAGGTAGGTCTGTCTAGTCAGCTTTAGCTCCAGTCAGTTCTTAGCTCTAACTCCAGTTAGCTCTAGCCGTGGTTCGCTTAGCTCTAGTCAGCTTTAGTTCCAGTCAGATCGAGCTTTAGTTAGCGCTAACTCCAGTTAGCTGTAGCTCTGGTTCGCTTTAGCTCCGCTGGATCCCGCTCTAGTTAGCACTAGCTCCACTCTTCAACATTCATTTTGGAAGTCTCGCACAAAATGCATTTTCGAGAGATAGCGGGCGCACGAAATGTTGTGGTTTTTTCAATACAAAGGGTGGCTCCGAACCTGGCAAGTCAAGCTCTGCGGAACGACGGTTGCAGAACGGCCTCGCGTCTTTGAGCACACGAGAAGTGGCGTCTGTGAAGCTTGCTGGGATGTTTTGGTTAGGGATGATCTCGCAGCGGCTGCTAAACTAGCGCAGCGCACTCGATTGCGAAACTAGGAGGCTTGCGAATTCATTGGGGCCGGGATCATAGCTTCCAATGCCGCACGCGGTGGTCGTTTGCATATGCCACACGCTGGCGCGCGGATTGCCGTTGCTATGACGATAGGTGTGCTGCAGCCCCCGGTGTTTTGGATTGCTGGCAGAGAAGCACCCCCGCCGCCAGTTGTTCCACCTCGTCCAGCCCCCGCCGGAGGTGCTGGGTGAACCGTTCCTTGGTCTTGCCGACAGGCATCGGTCTGCGTGCGTCGCTGTGGTCCGCGCAGACAGCCGGGAAATGCTCCTATGTCCGTCGTTGAGAACCGCATAAACAGCTGCTACCGCGCAGGACTCTTTTCACTGTGTGGAACAAAAGGATGCGGTGAGTCGGTGACGCATCGGCTGTGCTCTTGGACTTCGGTGCGTTGCTGTGAACCCCCGATGAGAAGCAAAAGAAGAAGCCACTGCATGCACAGTGCCACTGCATGCACAGTGCCAGAGCGAGTACGCCGTTGTGGGCTGCTTGCATGACGCCATCGTTGCGGGCCGGAAAAAAAAAGGGGGTGCGCAGGGCATGTGCGAAGGGACACTCCTATACTTGTAGGTCAAATTGTTCTTATAGAAAACTTCCGCCGCCAGCTTGCCCGGGAACTGCTTGTATATGATATATATATATATATATGTGTGTGTGTGTGTGGGTGTGTATTTATGGCTCGTCACAATCTCGAGACTCATTCCAAGAGTGACTGAGCCAATTCTAAAGTTCCTCGGGCACACTAAGAACACTAAGAACTTAAAGAATCAGCTTAGTAGCATGGCTTTGAGCCAGAATCGTCCATCACTGAAGGCGCTCAAAGCAGCTGCATACGACACCTCAAGGCGTGAGCTGCAATGAAAGAGCGATGTTGCTTTATGGTGTCAAAATCTGCTCGCACCGCTCTTGCAGTGCTCCGTGCTCTTCATGCAGCCGTGAGGCTTGGCCAATGTGAGCTCGGAAATCCACTGCGCAACCAAAGAGCCGTATCGCCCAGCGCCAGAAAGAACTGCAGGCACTAATGGCCTAGAATGAAATCTTGTCAAAGTGACTCAAGAGTGGAAGCTCAAGACCAATACAAACGTGTTTGGCCATCTTCTTTGGACAGCTTATTCCATATCAAGGTATTGGAAGAGGTTGAAAGGATCTATACAACTTGTCTGCCAGCACCTGCTGCTAAGCACGTCCTGCATGACATCATACCAATCATAAAACTAATTGTACAACAATAACAATGTTCAATGGCACTGGCACCGCCGTCATCCACCGATAATGCCGCTTCGGCACTGCATTCAAGAAGTCCGTGGAAATGCTGACACCTTTCAAGCCGGACGAATGCTCAGTTCGTGAGCTTATTTTTCGAAATGCAGTGTGATCGTTCAGTCCAGCAATACAACTAGCCTTGCTCTTGAGATCTTTGACATTCCTTGAGTGCCATCTCCCAGTGTCCAGTCCAGTCATGCAGCGCTGCACTCATATCAGTGAGGCCCAGCAAGGCCTCAAATGCGGTGATCCGGAGGCTGCAGGAAGATATCTGCCACACCCTGTGGTTACTAGGGCCAAGCCTGTACGAATCGGCACTTCACCTCGTATTGATATGACATGACGCTTCGAAGTGCCTTTCTTCAAGTCCGATTCCCTTAAGAACACACACCGTTTCTCCTGTCACATGTAGAAGCTGCTTGATTGGCCAAAGTGACAAAAGCCCTTCACCACAACCCCGCTTCGCCCATCCAAAACGGGCTGGCCCGACAATTCACGGCGGACAAGGCTCAGAGCTCCATAGAAAGCCTTTGGCGACCGCGAGCGCTGCAACACTTTCCTCAGAAACGACCAACGGACTTTTGCATGGTCCAGTTGCAGTCTTAAACGTTCAAGGAGCTTGCATGGCTGAGGTTGGATCTGCTGATCCTCTCTTCAAACTTTGGCATTCATTTGCCCCACACAGAGGTTGCACACATCCTCATTGGCCTAAGATTCTGCTTGCCGATCTCTGGGTAGTTCTGTGCCCTGCCACAGTTCCAGTGCTTTGGGCCACTGGGCAACTCGAGAACATGCCCCCAGCAAGGCAGTGAGCGACACTGAATCCTCGGTTGGCGCTCGCACCTGCATTAAATGCAAGAATCTTGGGCACATTGAGGACTGTTGCTTTGGATGGCTGAGCTCAAGGCTGGTTCCAATCGGTCGTTCGCCAAGTGAAGCAATGCTATGGCAGCGTCCCAATCTCCTGGAAGTCATGACATGTGGTGAGTGGTGAGGCCTTGTTGCATCCGAAGCAGCTGCATTCTTTGGGCATTCACATGCTACAACCACCCTCTCCAGCTCCGTCGCATGCACTCAACGCAGTGTTGAGAGTCACCAGAGTTGGCATTAAACGCCTTAATTCAACGGAGACACCATTCGCCGGTCTCCGCTTCGCGCTGAAGGGGTCTTAAGGGTGAAACCGAGCCCCACCATACCCCAGAAAACACACTCGATACGTTCACAAAGTTCACAAGCTTGCTTCATTCCTTCCGGCGAGGCACAGGCACTGTAGATCCACCAAAAAGGACCATGCTCGGACCGCCCGGCCCCGTCCACTGGCTGTCATGACCTTAGGGGACAGCGGTGATGTTGAAAGGGAACACACCATGGTCAGCTACGCATCGCATGCATTTTTGCAGAGGTGCACCCTCTGGAATCATCTGGAACCGATGGAATTTGATGGAACCGGTGTGACCAATGTATACAGCATCTCAATGATATCCCCTGGCACTCGAAGTAGGAGATCCCAGGTGCCGAGTTGTAGCTCACAATGTCCGGGCTGAGGTGCCCACCTGGCAAAGCGGGTTTAAGAGAATATGACTTTCAGGTGTTTCTGCTTCACACCCAAACGACCCCAACTCACCTTGGACCTGCTGTGCATGAAGGATCTTCAAGGCTGGTTTCCACTGGGAAGAGGCAGAACAAGAACCAAGGATCGCATTGAAGAGCACAAGGTCCTTGGCTGAGACTCTGGACGACCAAGTTCCAACCCCACGAAGCGCCACCAGGGACGGGTGCAAGACCCCTTCAATGTCCAAAATAACTGCTGACTTCACAGCACCTCAATGACTTCACCACTTGCCTCGTGTGCCGCGTCAAAAGCTCTGGTTTCAAACTGGCGAGATTCAGCTTGTAGTCCCAAATGTGCCAAGCCCCACTTCCAAGGAGCTCTTGTTGCACAAGAAGTGATGGCCTGCAGGGTCACCACCTGAGCAGCTTGTAGGGGATGAAGAACCCTTCACGGGGCTCGGCTAGACGTGGTGGCCCAGAGTGTTTATTGTTGTTTCTATCATGTTCTATCTTCGCAACCTAACATGCTGCAGTTGCAGGTTTCAACCTTCATCTACATAAGAAACATAAGATAGATTGTTATTCCGCAATTCAGAAGAGTTTCACCATCCTAGTGCAGAATGGTAGAAAATTTGGCGATGTATCACAAAGAGTGTGTGCACAAACCAACCGTGTATTGTTATAGGTATTAGGTGCACCGCTACTAGTAACAAGGGCATTACTGCTACATAGTAGCACTAGTAACAAGGGCATCGCTACTAGTAACTAGTAACAAAGGGCTCCTGCAGGAACAAATCGATGGCTGTTTGGCCATGTTTGGCCAAGGGAAGTCATCTTCCGCCTCGCACAGCTTGAAGGCTTCCGAGGCCGCACGCCAACTTCTCCAAGCACACGCCTGCGCTAGAGCGCTGGCCCCCCCGGTTCCCACGGCCGTGTCAAGGTGACGATCGTATCTGGCTTCAACTATCATAGTTATAACGAGTTATATACTATTGCATGCCTATATAATCCCATATATATGATCATATATGCATAGAAGTTGCATGGTCTGCGTTCATCCTGGTGTAGTGTGCATGAGGGAAGTGGGTTGTCCCTTGCTTGTGGTATCTTTGTGGTAATGGCCGCTAGCACAAAAAGAAGAAAAACACCACTGGCATTGGCTCCCAAGTTGAAAGCCCCTGTGACCTTGATCAATGCATTGTAGCTGACCACGTCAGGCTCAGCAGCAGCAGCAGCACACATGTCATGGAAAATGTTCAGGGCACTGTCCTCGGCCGAAGCAGCTTGGAGACTCATAGCAAGGCTCCACAGCTAGTCCCACATTACACTTACACATCTGGACGCTGGTCTCGCTGTTGCTTTTTGTCCGCTGCAGTGCCATATTGGCACAGATCTGGGATGAAACTGACACTTTCTAAAATTCAGTGTCAATGAGGTTCAGTGAAGTTGCCAATCCTTCTCCTTGCGGGACAGCCCAATCGCCAGCCACGAGCTCTGAAGCAGCTCCGTCTCAGACCGTGATCACCTCCCCTGTGAGGGGCACCAGTCGCAAGCGACTCAGTTGAGTTTTCCCAAGATCCAGGTTCACGGGAGTTTAGCAGACCAATCGTTCGACACCGTTCGACCAATCCTCCCGGCCAGGTACGCCGTCACAGACTTCTCCGTGCGAGCCTTTCCCTGCCTTGGCTGTGCATAAATAAGTTCAGTTTAGTGGGAAAAGGATGAAACATGGAGGTGAGTCCCTGCAACTTCAGCCACGATCAAGTTTCTGGGCGGCTGGCGCAAAGCTCGCTTGGCAAATTGAAGACCAACCTTGGGCACTGCAGGCTGGCATCTTCACTTGCAAATTTGTACAAATACATCCGATATGCCAAGAGCGGCGCTAGCTAGCAGCTATTGTGCCCAGATGCCACCATGCGCTGTGTTGTTGGATTCCGACCACGCCTGACCAAAACAGCAAAAAGCAGTTGGTCCCCAGCAGTTCTGCAGCATGACCAGGAGTCCAGCCTGACCACCGTGCAGCCGTGCTTGCAGGAAGTCCGAAAGACCAGGAGATCTCCACGACTCATCTGGGCTTCGTGCTTTCGTCCATCCACCTTGGTGAAGAACGAAGTGTTCCACTTCCAGCACTTGCCACCGGCTCTGCTTTGCAAACATGTCCAAGCTGCTTGCAAGCAGTTGTGCTATGTTGTACTGCACATCTCTAGCCCAAGGCCCTCACAAGTGTGAAGAACCTGCCACCTGTGAAGTCCTGCCCTGGCTGGCTCAAAAGCAAAAGCATCTGCAGTGGATAAGACCTAAGCCATGTCATGTCATGTGCATCATGAACAGCTTTGGAGTGCATTATTGACACCCAACCCCGGACCCCTATCTGCTCTGCGCTCGGGTCGCGACACTTCGCCATAAATATCCCGATGGGCCCGGTTCTCACCTCCCTCCTCCAAACCGACAGATGCAGAAATCGAAATCATCGACTCTCCATCACCGGCTTTCATTTCTGCGGGGAAAACCCCGCCCCGTCCTGATACCACAGAAACAGGCTGCTCGGGCGTGCTTGACCTTTTCGCTCGCACAACCTCAGGACACATGCCAAAAGCTGAGCGCAGCACTCGTCACAATTCACGGTAGTGTCAAAGTGTGCTCGGAAAATAAGCAAATGAGAGACGTGCCATGTTTGTGACGGTTCGGAAACGGTTCTGAAAAGGTTTTATTATGTTGTAAACATCTTGACAAACAAACAATACATCGTCATCGTCATCGTCATCATCATCATCATCGTCATCATCATCATCATCATCGTCATCGTCATCGTCATGCACTTTCACTGCGTGGGAGGCAGGTATTTGATTTATTCTGCTCAGCACAATTCAACCCAGATGCGCTTCAAAGTCCTCCAAGGTCGGTGGCAACTCACGCCTTCTCTCTCGCACATCAAGCTCATTGCACATTACACGGCCACAAGCTGTCACCTCCCGAGCGCACAGAACTGATGCGGGCGCCCGATGACAATCCGATTTCCGGGGCGCCGGAAGCGACCGTCATAACATCGATGAACCCTCTGCCTCCAAGCCATGCTGCTCTAAAAGCTCGCTGGCCGTGGGAAGGAACATCTCATAAGCGACCTCCTTCAAGCTGGAAAGCTGTAATGGCAGCTGCCGAAGGTAGTCATACCTTGGTGCTGTGCCAAGCAAGAACCGCTTTGTATATCAATGTCAGGTATATACTGGGGTTGACTGAAGTATGCTCGACACATAGACATAGCTGGCTCGCTGCTCGCATAAGGTCCACACCCGCCATTCCCTTTGCCTCAGCTTCTCCACAGCTTCACGTAGATTAAGCAACTGAAGACATCCAACAAAAACGATCAAACATTAGATTGCCACCGCAGTGCTTTGCTCTTCCATTCGCACTGTTCCGCCTTCCAGGAAGCCGGGGAGCTCCAGCAACAAGGCATCCACATCTGAGGGCTCCAAGGCCCTTTGGAGGATGGCAAAGCCGCCCTACATGGTTATGTCATGTTGCAAACGGCAAAATAAGGAAATTAATTCGAAGGATGCTCATGTCTACCAAAGTAAGTCCTCCTCCTTCTCTCTCTCCCTCCCTCCCTCCCTCTCTCTCTCTCTCTCTCTCTCTCTCTTTCGCACTGTGCGCACGACGTAGCAATGTAACGATAACTGCCATCCATGCCATCCTACCAGCATCGTTGACCTTAAAAGGGTTTGCGCTACCATCGCTTCCTGACGCCCCCTACTTCATCTTCCCGCCTCAAAAAGATCCCGTTGAAAAACAGGTTCTGCAACCCAGTCGTGGAGCCGTTGTTGCCAATGCTCCCGCCATCCTCCACCTCCAGCTGGAGCCCGTCGTTGCCATCCTCTGTGTCACACACAAAAACCCTTGCTCAATATTGGTTAATCTGTTTGTGACTGTCTATGTCTGTGCCATTGCATGGGCTTCCTCGGTGGGACGTGGGAGTTGGAGGTCTGCGCCTGCGCCCCCCCAAAATCCTCTTGCAACTGAGTTTCGCCTCGCAGGCTGCATCCAAGTCCCGGCCCCAGCCCTATGTTACTTGAGCCATCTTGAGCCACTCACATGCCAAAGAAAGGTTCCACAAGTTGGGTGAAGAGGTGGGCTTCATTTGGGATCCTTTTGGTAGCAGGATCAATCCCACGGAAGCTAGTCAGTGATACATACTTCAACCAACTAATCTGAAGAGCTGATAACATTTGCCCAGCAAACTAAGGCGCCATAGCAGCTTGGCACAACTTGAAACAAAACTGGTCAGAAAGATTGCCCTTCTCCATGCTGCCGTAAGCCCCACCAGCATGTGTTCCATAGAAATCATGGAGCAAAGAAACTAAGCCTTGGAAAAGTCCAACAGGGTCCTGCCAGAAACAAGAGTATCGCTACGAACGTACATAACAAGGGCATCGCTACTAGTAAGGAGCAAGGACGCTACGAACGTAGCTCCTGGCTTTACTATTAGTAACAAGAAGCTACAAGAAGCTACTAGTAACAAACCCATTCGCCCAACAGAGAGAGCGTCCCTGCCATCCACCTGTGCACAGCTCCAAGGCTCTGCTGCCAGCGCTGGTGGCCCTGAAGCGCACAGTGCCATAGCAGTGTTAAAGGTGATCACGTCGCGCGAGTGGGTGTCCTCAAGGTGCCCCAAAGGGAAAAGCTCCTTGGAGATCTTCAATAACGAGTGTGCAACTATACTGGTTAGTTCCAAATCTGCGAAAGTAACAGCCGGCAAGGTTCAAAATCTCCTGGACTCAGAGCGAAACAGGACTCTCACACACCCCAAGCCACCCTGACGGTTGCCTTCCACAGTCGTAGTGCCACGCTCCAGCGCCGTGCACGCTCGCATGCACCAAGTGCAGCGTTGAGACCTCGAGATCTTCCGAGGAATTGCTTTGGACATTGGACATCAATTGCCATTTAAGTAGAACATGAAGTGGCGGTTTCTGTTCTTGTCTTGGATGTTCATCCCCCACCCTGACCATCTGCCATATAATTGAACTCCTCAGCCTCAAAGCCATCCAAGTCGCTACTCGTGTCCCGGACGCGTCCGGCTCCCAGCGCCAGGGCCTCTGCCCAGCGGAGGCCACGGCCCAGCGCGGCCACGGCCGCGGCATGGAGGCGAGCGTCCTGGACCTCGCAAAAGCGGTGCGGGGAGAAGGATGATAAGAAACAAATAAAGTCTTAAAGAGATTAGAGCCCGTGAGTCAGTCCCAGTGGTAGGGAAAGGAGCATGACAATTGGAAAGAATGGAGCTTAAGACTCCAAGACTCAAAGCACCAGGACATATGAGGACTAGAGATTCACAATCTTCCAGCTTGATATCAATTGTTGTAGTGAATGGAAATCCAAGGTGCTGGAGTTTCGACCAATGCCAAGTAGACTGCTTGTTGCCAGCGTGTTGCCCTTGCGAGTGCGGCCACCTTCGCTGTGCGCTTGGCCAGGAACCTGCCAAGGCACTTCCTGAAACCAATGTTTGGTCGTCAGTTTGTTTGGCAAAGGATGGACTATGAACATATAGACCCCCAAATAGATAGAAAAGCAGATCCCCACTAAGAATGTATTGGAAAGCGTTTCTATATGTTTCTATCTATTTCGGGACCGCTCTAAATACCACCGGCCGGAAAGTCAAGAATCTAGAATCCGATCGGCCTCTGGTCGCTGCCCATGAAGCACCATCCATATCGCCCCGTGAAATCATGGTGAAACCAGATGAAAATAGACTATATAATGCGTGCGATAGGCACGTGTCGAAATGAGACCTTCAGTAGAAGGCAGAGCACGCACTAGCTCTGCTTCGTGCATGAAGATCATGCAAAGCTTCTAGAGACATGCATAACAAACAGAAAGCGACGCAAGCAAGCCTCTGCTTGAGCTGGACAAAGGTGGTGCATGAGCATGTCTGGCAGCGTGACATGTGAGGCTGGAGGTTTCAAATCCTGCTTTAGTTCGACCAAACGACTGCGGATCGCGAAGAGTTCTCGACTCTAGTCACTCTAGTCAAAGCTTGAGACTGCCCAAATTATTGACTCTGTGCTTTTGAGCGAAGCTACGTGCTGTTTGGCACCACTTGGCCACCCGGCAGAAGGCCAAGCCACCCGCCCTGTGCGAGAGCCGCACTCGCGTCTCAAGCATCACCTGAGAGCGAAACACAATGGCCAATTTCCAAGAGGGAGTATGCGCAACATATCTATACATATATATCTATATAAAGACTTCCTAAAATAGCAAGCCCTTGGAAGGGCTTTCTCAAGGATTTTCCTATCAAACATGATGTTGCTGATGCAAATCTATATGGTACATGCTCGCACCTTCTTCAATCCGATTTGTTTTCCTGGAGCATACAGCAGTTGCAAACCGAGCACTTTTCCTCCCCGCTGTCTCAGTCTCGGCCACCTGAATGCTCCTTTCACTTCAACTACACATCTGAAGCCTATCACGAGCCACCAACTGTGCACGATGACGTTCAAGCAGCCAACAGGCCACACTCTAGTTAAAACAACTGCGAGGCTCTCCTTCGAACAGTCGCCCTCAGCCCTCAGCCTCCGCGCATGGAGACCTTTCAAAAAACCAACAGCAGCGACCTTGCACTGTCATGGACTGCCTTTGTCACAATGTCATGCTGAAATAGTTGTCAGCCCCTCGCCACCTGCCCGTCTTTCACAGTGGAGATGGGCGCAGCACGAGCAACAAAGAGATGATAGATCTCTGACCATTGGCAGGCTCCTAACAGCAGTGTGGCCCACAAATGCCAACAGGATGGGATTGAGCTGGCCGACTCAAGTTATCACTTTCAAGGCGAGGCTGTGTCAAAGGAAGCATCTTCAGTATCTGAACCCCTCAACCCCTTCTTCCCTGTCAAGAGTGTGCATTCTAATGGAGATCCTGAAGAAGCCCCTGGGCAGCAGCCATCTTCACGCGTCGCTGGCGGGGCGATCTCTTCCCATGTGATGCCTCGAGCAGGAAAAACATATATATAGAGAGAGAGGGAGACATGTTTGACCTGTCATATTATGGGTACAGCAGGGTTCAGTGTCACACAAAAATGGAAACCAACGTTTGCTGGGAGTTCATCAATGATCGGCAATTTTCCTCTCCGGGCCAAGGAACCACAACACGAATGCTTTAAACTATTCAAAACTGTACTACGTATGTATCCAGTCATTCGGCAAGAGAAAATTTGCTTAAAAAATGCGTACATTAAACCCTGCAGTCACCCCTGCTGGTTTTCTCTGGCCTTACAAAAATTGACTAGTAATTACTAGACTCGACCGCCACTCCCTGTCTTTCACTTGGACGGTGACATGCTTGCTGACTGGACAATAGAAATGAAGACAACTCAAGAGTTTCAAAGGCTCTTTCCAACACCTTTAACTAACAGCAACATTTGCAGTTCAGAACAAGTCCGCGAGATCGCGGGAAGGTCCAACGGTGTCTCTCCACCGCACGTGTCGAGAGACAGTGAGGCCTGCGTCCTCAGACTCGGGACACTGCGCGTGTCCCGCTCTTCGAAGAGCCTCCACCCTGGGAAAAGGGTCGGTCGCTCTCAGCTCAGATCCATGGGAGAAAGAGTTGGTGGCAGGGGCCCCCCCAGTCGTGCAACCGAACAAGGGCAGTGGGGACTTCAAATCTCATACTCTTGGTCCATCCTGATGTTGTTGGACTGGGACATGACATGTCTGGTGCGTCTCACGCAGCCATCCGTGCTGCAACTGGGAGAAAGCTACCGTAGTTTCACAAATGTATTTCCGTTCACTGCTCAAGAACTGAATGCGCTCACAACTTGAACGACATGTGGGCCAAAGTCTACCAACTCCCAGCCACTTTCCATGCCTCCCTCATGGAACGTCAAGCCCCATCCAAAACAAACTATGATTACCCTAACTTCCAACATCATACTACATCCAACGAAGAATCAAGCACCTCAAACTTGACTGACTGAAGCAACATCAGTGTACCCATTCGCACACAGCGCGCGTCGCACCACCGAGCCACGTCTGCTGGTGCGACTCGCGCGGTGACTCGTCGGCCGCGAAGCCAATGAGCTCCACCCAGCGGTGCAAGAGCTGGAGACCTGGGTAAGGGTGGAATGAGATGTGGAGATGACATACAAGTGATGAGATGAGTACAGTAAGTCAATGGGTATGGGGTGCTATGAGCAAGTGATATGATTGGTCTGTTCTAAGCTCCTGGGATCTGCTGGGATTTGTCCATGATGGATATTTGAGCACGCGGGCCAAATAGCTGAGGAGTTTGGTGTGAGTATGTGTGTGTGTGAACACGTTCATAAGAGATCATAAGGTAGTTATGAGTGTAGTGTCTTGATGGATTCAATCGAACCAACACAATCTACATCTACACCACGAGCTTTGCGAGCTTTGCAAAACCTGCAAGCTAAGGGTGCAACCTCGCTTCAGATCGTCCAGCTGGTGTCCCTGCTCGGCCAAAGTGCTCCCGAGTTGCTGCAAGGCGTTCCGGAAATACCTGGAACGGGGAACGCCCTTCGTGTATGGCATAAGGACCATGTTCGTTGCTTCAATCATGGGCACTAAAAGCGTCGCCTGAAATCACAAAACAGAAACCTTGACTGCAGCACGAGCACAGCAAACCACGGAAGGACCAAAGCTGCGCTTGAGAAATGCTTCGCCGCCCCTCCTGTCATTGTGACATGAAGTTGACACACGCTTCACCGAGAACAAGAGCAAGGCTCCTTGGACCACGGTTCTTCTTCCTTGCAAAGTTGGCGGTATTCTTTCATTGCCTGAGCTTTCAACGGAGCGATGACGCAATAGGCGCCAACGACAGCCAGCTACCACTTCTGCCGTCAAGGCACAATTGGAAGAAAGTCACAGTCGTGGATGACTTCCTTGAAAGCAAGGTGTCATATTGTGTATGGTATCATCGAGCGAAGCTGGGCCCCTCGCATTCAACATGCGCTGAACGGCAGGCTGCCCACGGCTTTGCTGTCGTCGTGCCACGCAGGTGTGGATGGAGCTCACTCTGGAAAAGATAACCTTTCACATTCGGCTGGCTATTCACTGGTCAACAAAAAAGCAATGAATTCAGCGCGTTGGGCCACCCGACCGCCCGAAGGTGTTTCTGCTCCAGGTCGCTGAGGCCATCCAAAACAGCTTCACGCCACTTGCGCAAACGGGCCTGAGGAAAATCAACGTGCGGTTCTCCTTTGCCAATCATACTGACATCATGTTTCAAAAGAATGTGCTTTGTACCATCTATTGTAGTATCATATGCAAGACCCCCCCCTACCATGAAGGCACAAAGCTCCACAAATTGAATATATAAGGCACAGTCTGTCCAAAGGCGAATGTCCAACCGTCTTTGGAAGCAAGCGTCACCAACCGTCTCTTCAGTGATGGATCCAGTCACTGAACGGACCGAGATCTGAGCTAAGCCCCCCGCACCCAATCGAGCCAATCGGAGCCGCTCAGCGCTTCGGCGAAGCTTCCCCAAGAGCACGGAAAGGGAAGATCCTGCAAAACAACCAGCAACTCCTAGGCGATTCAAATTGGTTTTGAGATGTTTTGAGCATCTTCCATGTGTATGCTACGCAGGCTGGGCATGCTGAAAACAGGGTCTACTGATGCCTAGTGCCTGTATGTGCCTGTTGACTCGTCTTCGACCACTCCCACATGCCTCTGCGGCTTTGAGCAGGGCGTCCCAGCTGTGGATGGTCGATCCAGGCGGATTCTGGCGAAGGAATTGGAGGTTTACAAAAATGAGGTCATTCCCCTCATTCCATTCCCAACAATCATTCAGATTCAGGAAGCGAGCTTTCTTAGATTCTTATACGTTTTTTATCGTGTTATGAAAACATCTGAAAACATTCACAAAGCCACTTGGGATATATCATATATATATATATAGATATCCCTTTGCCCCCCAGCCAACTCGCTCAGCCGGTAGAGTGTAGGAACAAACGATCTCCATTGACCCAAGCCGACCCAAGCTATCCCGTCCCCCCCTTCCAACGTTCGAAGAAAGTGATATAGGACCAATGGCACAGACCCCAATGTCGGTGGTTTATTCCCCAAACAGTTTACTGTTAGGGGTGCCTTGGTGCTGGATGGTCTGGTCGGGTTCCCGGCCGGCTTGTCTCCCACTTCTTTTCAATTGTCTCCCAGTTCTTTTCACTTGTCTCCCAGGCTGGGTGCTTGTGGTCGGGTCTGGCTTGTCTCCCACTTCCTTTCACTTGTCTCCCAGTTCTTTTCATTTGTCTCCCAGAACACTTCCTTTCATTTGTCTCCCACTTCTTTTCATTGTCTCCCAGGCTGGGTGCTTGTGGTCGGGTTCCCGGCCGGCTTGTCTCCCACTTCCTTTCATTTGTCTCCCACTTCTTTTCATTTGTCTCCCAGGCTGGGTGCTTGTGGTCGGGTTCCCGGCTGGCTTGTCTCCCACTTCCTTTCATTTGTCTCCCAGGCTCGGTGCTTGTGGTCGGGTTCCCGGCCGGCTTGTCTCCCACTTCGACTCATTTGTCTCCCACTTCTTTTCATTTGTCTCCCAGGCTGGGTTCCCGGCCGGCCTCCCGCTTCCTTTAGGCTGGGTGCTTGTGGTCGGGTTCCCGGCTGGCTTGTCTCCCACGTCATTTTATTTGTTTCCCACTTCTTTTCATTTGTCTCCCAGGCTGGGTGCTTGTTTCCGGCCGGCTTGTCTCCCACTCCTTGCATTTGTCTCCAACTTTTGCCCCAAACAGTTTACTGTTAGGGGTTCTCAATTCTTTCTTAAGATGTGTCACTGCTGGTGTTTGCACTGGCCATGTAGCATTTCTAATTATTCATGTTTCTCCCAGGTCTGTCACTGCTGGTGTCCGTCCGTTTTCCGCTGGCCATGCAGCATTTCTATTCATGTGTCTCCCAGGTCTGTCACTGTTGGTGTCCGTCGTTTTCCGCCGGCGATGCAACATTTCTATTCATTTGTTTTCCAGCTCTGTCACTGCTGGTGTCCGCCCTTTTCCGCTGGCCATGCAGCATGTCTATTCATTTGTTTCCCGGGTCTGTCACTGGTGCTGCCGCCCTTTTCCGCTGGCCATGTAGCATTTCTATTCATTTGTCTCCCATGTGATTTCTTTCTTTTTGTCTTTCAGGTTTGGTCCCTGCACTGCTGTTTTCTGCCCTGTCCGC